GTGGCAGTGGAAGGTGTCAAAGCAGTTTGGAGAGAAAAACAAAGTAAAGAACAAAAAAAAAAAGAAAGAAAACGATTAATCAGTTATTAAATTAGTCATCGATTATTTTAATAATCGATTAGCCGTCGATTCATCGGTTAATCGTTGCAGCCCTAATTGATGTTTACTTTCTTTTGCAATAGTCATGTTATTCTGTTAATTCACCACAAAAAAAAAAAAAAAAACACAGAAAAACACTGAAGTGTTCAGAGATGGTTCATGTGTCGACAGGGCATTGGATTGATGTTTTGCATCCTTACAACTGTAACATTCACTAATAAACACGAGGTCAAGCATTCGCAATGTGGCGGACAATTTACGAGAATTAAAAGCTACTTTAACAGCGAGGATAAAATGAAGCAAACAAGTTTCCCGTTTAAGAACATTAAAGTGCTAAATTTGACCTTCAGCACCAAACTGGTTCACGCTCAGTTTGTTTCCATAATGGGGCACGGTAGAAGAACAGTAAAGTCACTGCCCTCGTATCTAATGATTGTCTGTTGCAGATGGTAGAACAGACCTCTGACTGAGCAAAGTAAGCTGACTTGTGAACGCCCACAAATGGATCTGCTCCACTCTTTGCAGGAATCAATATGTCCCTTGAAATCATGTTTTTTGAGGAGAGCTCTGAAGCATAAATCATGATTATTGTTTTTTTTTAATCTGTACACATTGTGTGTGTACATTTACTGGGTAAATAGGAGGTGCCGAGAAACACGCGCATGTGAGCGCAAATACAGCACAGCTGTGGTGGCGATCATAAATAAGATGTTCTCATCACCGATGCCAAACCCTCTGAAAGGCTCACGAGGACACGTTTCAAACAAACCAGAGGCTCTGCCTTTATTTGTGGAAACACGTTTCACAAACTAATGATCAAAAGCAAGCGTTGTCTTACAAAAACACAAGCCAAATGTGCTGAATTCTGTTTTCAAACTCATTTTTTACCACACCCCATCAATTGATTTTGGGTTGTTGGACTAAAGCGACATGTGTAAACCTGTTCAATGCAGCTTAGAAAGTTTGACGCCCCTATCTGGAACATGCTGTTATGTGTACAAAACAAACGCGTTTATCTGCACAGGTTTCACCGTGATGCTTTTCTAACACAACCCTGCTGTTGTTGTGAGATGTATGAAAATTGAGGCAATTACATGGAGTGAGAATGAGAATTATTACAAGGTGTTTTTGATACAACTACGTAAAAACAGATAATCAAAGCCAGAGTTTTTATTTAATTGGGTTTTATTTATTTATTTATTTATTTATTTATTTATTTATTTATTTATTTATTTATTTATTTATTTATTTATTTATTTATTTATTTATTTATTTATTTATTTATTTATTTATTTATGTCTTTAAGCAGTAGCAAATGAATGTTAAAAAATATTCTATGGTTTAAGAGAAGGCTAATGCTTCATTAAAACCTGAAAAGCACATCTGTGTGATTAGAAATAACGATTTTGCATAACCATCACTTAAATACAATGTAAGTTATAATAATTTAGCAATTTGATTACAAAGAAAACGTTGCATCAAAGCAAAAGAAATAATGTCCAAAACCAGTGGTTTTCAAACTTATAAGCGAACAGCGAAACGTGTGACTTTATTTTACTAAAGTATGAACATATTACTGTTAGAGCAATTAATTAAGGGCTTAAAAGCAAACACTACTATTTTTAACTTATTTATAACATCACGTTATCTTTTGCAACACTCTTGACCAAAACAATGCAATTGACTGTCATTTTACCCCACCCCCACCCCACCCCACCCGAAAATCATCTTAAGACCCAAAACTTGAGGTTTTGCGACCCATATTGGGATCCCGATCCTACACTTTGGGAACCACAAAATATTCAAACAGAACTTACTTGAGGCTGATTCATTTCAGCTTAAAATGTGAATTAACATAACATATGTGAGCTGACAAACTCGTTTACCTTTTTTAAAATTCACCTTTTGACCATCTGTACCTATTAGAAAACTTATTAGCGCCAAATTATATGCTTTACTCAACATTTCAGCATACCTATTTATTTATTTCCGACTAAAATGCTACGAGTTTAAATATAAGCAGCATCATATGAAACCACATGTATTTTATTATTATTATTTTTACCTTAAGAATGTCCCATTAGCAGATCAGCCTGGCAGCCGCATCAGTTCTCCAACTCTGAGCCCGGAGTCCGTTTGCTTCTGAGCAGGGAGGAGCTTACCGAGGAGAGGCGGGGCGATGACGTCACATTGTGCTTGTCTTGAGACGCTCATAAAGAAAATCCACTGGACTTGTTTTATTAAAGCAAGTGCGCCACGGTCTGATAAGCAGGTAAATCATCACTATCATGATATTTTATTTTATTTTTGTTTTATTTTCCAAATAATTACAAAAGGTTAAAAAAAACAAATGCCTTATATATAATAAATAATTTCACAAACATGTAACAAATACATCAAATTATATGTATTTAAATTAAGTCTTTACAACGAGTCAATGTAGAAAAGTGTTTTTAACAAGTCAAATAAATAAATAAACTAAATTGCAGCATTTTAGTGCTGATTGTCATTGAGAATAGAAACTACTTGTGATTAAAACTCCTGTTTCAGAATCACAAATTGCTAAGGTTATAACAAAAAATCTTATTCCACAAAATTTAGAAGTGCCTCAAAAATTGTATAACCCACTAAAATATATTTCTGTAAATTACAAACACATCCAAAACTTTTGAACGGATTTTCACTAAACAGCTGAAGAAAATATATTATTGTTATATTAGGATTACAAACGCACAACAAGTGTTAAAAAACATGGCAATGTTCTAAAGTTTAATTTTAAAACTTGAAATAAAAAGTGTTCACCCCGTCCCTCATCTTGCAGCAGTCACAACGTTACGGTGTCTTTATTGTGTGACTGAAAGCTGTTGGTTTATAAAGCGAATTCCTCTATTTCATCATCAAACGACCTGATGGCACGGATTGCAGGTTTGCTTTCTGCAACGCGCAGGGTGTTGACTGAGGATGCAGGAGGAGTGGAAGACCCTGAGCTGAAGCTGAGGAGTGTGTCCCGTCTTGAACGCACTCCATTGGGGGCTGCAGAGTTATTGAGCACCTCCATTTTATTGACGGCGCTAGCTGTTTCAGCGGCGAGGACGGCCTGGGCACCGAACAGCTGCTGCAAGAGGCTCGCCTTCTTGTCGCTGTCCACTCTCTTCTCTGTCTCCATCCCTCCGAGATCAAAAAGTCCTGCGTCTTCTAACGCAGAGCTCCTGTCCTCTTTGGGCAAAGGCTGAGGGACAGAGGAAACCTGGGAGGCTGAATGTCCAAACGAAGGCGCGTAACCTCCAAATGCCAACTTGTCGCTGGAGGTTTGTGATCGCAGCGCTCGCCTTCCTGTTCCTGCTGTAACGGCTCCACTCTCCACACCTGGCCTCCTCCTTCCAGCTTCTCTAATCCCGGCGTCCTCTGACTCGTTATGGTTAAAAACAGAGGAGTTACAGTTCCTCTGCTCGGGAGGACGTGGAGAAGAAAACGCACTCGTACTCTTTTTAGGTTCGGCGGGGCTTAACTCAGCAAATATGGCATCTTGGGCTCCCTGGTTTTGAAGGTCGATTTCGCGCATCTTAGCCAGGAGCTTCTCTTTCTTCCGCTGCGTTTCCTCCATTGATTGCTGATTGGCCAGAGAGTCCTGGTTCCACCTCGCCACCTTCTCCTGGACATGGCCTCGCCCCCAGGAGAAGTCGTCTTCTTTCTGGGTAAAAAGTGAACTCGTCTTCTTTCTGTCTCCCTCTCCGCCATTTTCCGAGGCTATTAAACAAATGTCAGATTGAAATGAATGCTTGAATCGTTCACATTTTACAATATTTTGTAAACGCAAAGCAAATAAAACGCACTCCTTACTTGTCATGAGATTGTCTTTAATATCACTCAATCTATTTGCCTTCAGCACATTCAGATCCCGGCTGAATTGTTTCGGCTCCGCCTCCTGCTCTTTCTTCTTCTCTCCGTCTTTTTCTTTCTTCTTTTGTTCTTCAAGAGGCGTCTTCTCTGGCCCTGCGTGATTGTCCACTTTGTCAAACTCCTGCACAGACAGGTTCAAGAAGTGCGTTACAAACAAGAGTGTTGAAAGATTAAATACGAATGTGTTTGGAGAAGTAAAAAGTCAAACGTACCACCTTCAGAGACAGGTACTCGTTCGGAGCCTGTTCGCCGTACTCACTGGCATCGCTGACAGCAGGAGGAGGGGAGGGGAAACCCAGACTCGATGCTCTGTCTTCAGTCTGTACTGCCTTAGTGCTGTTCCTGCTGAGGACTGGACGAAACAAAAGGCTAAATTCTGATTATTCTGTTTTTAACTCGAACTTTAACTAATTTTCTGTATTCTTCTGCGACAGAACCAGGGGTGGAAATTAAAATTTTTCCCCACCAGCCACAGTGGCTGGGAGAAAATTTTTGTACCGGCCACTCAAACTTTTTACCAGCCACAATTTTTTTGTTTCAGTAACACAGTGGCATTTAGACAATTCATGGTCCTTGGTGGCCTAATAATATTGGGCCTCATGCAAGAACCGTTAGTACGCACAGATTTGTTCTTAAGTTGTGCGTACGAGTGATTTAGGAGAATTTGTGGCATTCACCAATGTTTTCATATTCTAAGATTTTTTTTCAGATACGAACAAAATTTACAAGTGGTCCAGACCTGTTGAATATTTTACGAGCTGTCAGTCTGCTGTTATCCAGACGGGTTTTCTTCACTAATAACTTTATATTTCGTTAGTTTGAAGATATTTTGAGTTGAAAATAAATCACACTCCATAATTATGTTGACAATAGGCTATTCTGCTTGAATTATAATTATGATTTTAAATGTAATAATTGTCCGTCCATCCGGCTTATCCGCTATCAGGTGC